TCGTGGGCAAGGTTCGTGGGCAAGGTCCGTTTCTTCGTGGGCAAGGTTCGTGGGAAGGGTTCGTTTCTTCGTGGGCAAGGTTCGTTTCTTCGTGGGCAAGATTTGATTTCGGGCTTAGGGCCTCGGGAAGAATGTGAACTTTGCATGTTTCTTTTTTTTTGGGATTCTCTGGGTGGTTTGGATTTTTTCCATGTTCCGAAGAGCTTGCTCGACTAGATACAGCTCGATCCGGAGCTGCTGAACCCTAAACCCTAAACCCCTAAACCCTAAACCCTAAGCCTTGAACCCCGACGAAACAGCCCAGGAGCAACTTGGACCTCAACTTCCTCGGCTCCCTCCCAGAGGGTTTCCGGGAGCAGACCGCCGACTTCCTGCAGGACTTGGGTTTGCGGTTTAGGGTTTTTTAGGGGTTTTAGAGTTTTAGGGTTTAGGGTTTAGGGGTTTGGGGTTTAGTGTTTAGGGATTTTTGAAGTATCCGTAAGGGATGCTTAAGTAATCCATGGTTTTTGTTCTTTTAATTAACAACACCATAGCAATAGGAAGTACAACTAGTGTTACTGTGACTAGGATTCCTATGTTTACTGTTTGGGCGATTGTCTTTGTTGGGAGACACAGGCGTTCTCAGATGCCTTTTTTTTTGACCGGGGGTGAACAGGGTTTTGGGGGTTCCACAGTTTTGTTTGGGTAAAATATTTATAGCGAAGCTGGCAGGTTTAGGCTTTGGGCTTAAGGGACTTGGGATTTAGGGTTCAGGGGACTTAGGGTTTAGGGTTTAGGGTTTAGGCTTTAGGGGACTTAGGGTTTAGGGTTTAGGGGACTTAGGGTTTAGGGTTTAGGGGACTTAGGGTGCAGGTAGGGTTTGCTTAGGCATGATGCAGGGTTTAGTGCCTACGTGCTCGGGGTGGAGCCGGCCCTCGAGGGGCAGCACAAGTTGCAACGTGTTCTAAGGTGGCCTCGAGGAACAGACGACAAGTTTTAGCCCAGCGAGCTGAACCTGAAAGCCCTAAACCCTAAACCCTAAACCCTAAACCCTAAACCCTAAACCCCCCAAAACTAAAAGCCCCTAACCAAAGCTCCCAATATCCTAAACCCTAAACGGCCGTGAGCTCTTGCATCAGAAGCAGACAGCGTTTTTCGTCTAGGAGCCCGAAACCCCTTTTTAGGGGTTTAGGGTTTAGGGTTTAGGGTTTAGGGTTCTAATTCTGAGATCTTAGATGCAAACCCCTAAGCCCGTGAAGCCCCAAGTCCTTCACTCCCACTCCCGAGAATCCTTAGCACCCATATGGGTAGTTCTCTGGGTCCCTTTTGCGGGTCCTTTTTACAAGGGTGCCGTGCTTTAGTCTTTAGTCGGGATCTGCAAAGGGATCCTGATGTAGAGAACTACCCGCATGAACCCCACAGCCCCCTATTAGAAGAAACCCTAAACCCTAAACCCATGACAGGAGTGTTTTGACCCTTCTAGCAGGCATCCTTCAATGAACCCTCCCTGGGAATCCCAACCCTCGCTTTCTAAACTTTTTTTCAGCCTTAACTTTTTCCAAAAATAAACGGCCCTGTTCCTTAAACCTTGAACCCGCCACCCAACAAGTACAAGTAAGTCTTTTGAAGGAGCTCTCCAACACCCCAAACTCAGAGCCAAAACCTTACCTGAGAATCCTTATCGTCACCCGTATAAGGGAGCTCCTTGACAGACTCCTTTAAACGAAGCCCCTGAAAGGAACTCCTTTTAAGGAACCCCGAAGACTTGAAAGTTCCAGGACCTCATCCTGAAAGTGGTGGCCCCAAAGCCGCTCGGTCATGGCATCTGCACTGCCGGCATCGGGGCGTTGTTGAGGGTTCGGGGTTCGGGGTTCAGGGTTCAGGGTTTAGGGTTTAGGGTTGAGGGTGCGGGGTTCAGGGGTTCGGGGTTCGGGGTTCGGGGTTCAGGGTTCAGGGTTTAGGGTTTAGGGTTGAGGGTGCGGGGTTCAGGGGTTCGGGGTTCGGGGTTCAGGATTCAGGGTTTAGGGTTTAGGGTTGAGGGCGCGGGGTTCAGGGGTTCGGGGTTCAGGGTTCAGGGTTCAGGGTTCAGGGTTTAGGGTTTAAGGTTGAGGGATCGGGGTTCAGGGTTTAGGGTTTAGGGTTGAGGGATCGGGGTTCAGGGTTTAGGGTTTAGGGTTGAGGGTTCGGGGTTCAGGGTTTAGGGTTGAGGGTTCGGGGTTCAGGGGATCGGATGCAAGCTCGCCATCGTGGAGACGAGGCCCAACATCTCTCGAGTCTTTAAAACCCTAAACCCTAAACCCTAAACCCTAAACCCTAAACCCTAATTTAACCCTCACTCTCAAACTGTAGGTTCGAGGCTCTTCTGGCCATCACCCCCCCCCGTTCACGGTGATGCGGCATCGCGCCCCTAAACACTTTCCTTAAACCCTAAGCCCGTGACCTTAAGCCATAACCCCAAACAGTTTGCCTAGAAATTTTCCACCGTTCTCGCCTTCTTGCGAAACCACAAAACTCCCCCAACCCTAGACCGTTTCTTTGTGGTAAGCCTGCTGCCACAGCCCCAAACCCTCAATACCCCAAGCCCGATAAACTCCAAATCAGCAAGCCTTACTGGGAGGTTCATGGGCAGTTGGAAGTGGTGTTATAGATAGAATCAACACTATTTGGGGGGTTCCTTTTGCTAGCTATAGTTAGAGTATAATGTACACCAAAAGTATTAAGGCCCCTGTGCCAGCCCATAGTTATAACCCACTACCCACGAACCTAAGCCGCAGCCTCCCTCTCAACCTCCACGGAGCGCCGGGCCTCCACCCTAAACCCCCTTCAACCCTAAAACCCTAAACCCTAAAACCCTAAACCCTCAAACCCTAAACCCTAAACCCTAAACCCTAAAACCCTAAACCCGAAACCCTAAAGCCTTGGCACCAAATCCGCGAAGATCTTACAAACCCCTTACAGAAGCATTGGGCAGCCAGGTAGGCTACCAAAATCCGACGCCCGAGGCTACAGAATCCTATGCCCTAAACGCTCCCATACAGTCGGGGTTCAGGGTTTAGGGTTTAGGGTTTAAGGTTTGGGGTTTAGGGTCTTGGGTTTAGGGTTCAGGGTTTAAAGTTTAGGGACCTTGAACCTTCATCTGTGAACCCCCAAAACCTTAAGACTCTAATGCCTACAGCCCTAAAACCCCAAACCCTAAACCTTAATCTGTGAACCCTTGAAACTCTAAGGCCCTAAACCCTAAGACCCTAAGAGCCCAAACCCTAAGCCCTAAACCCTAAACCCTAAACCCTAAACCCCTAAACCATAAAACCCTAAACTAAGAGCCCCCAGACCAGGTTCGAGATGGACCTGGAGATGATCTTTGGTGCCGACCAGTCGAACGAATACCGGCTGCAGGAGCCTTTCACGGTTTAGGGTTTTAGGGTTTAGGGTTTAGGGTTTAGGGTTTAGGGGAGCCACCAGGAACACCAGGAAAATACTTTAAGGTCTTTGCTTGAGGAAGATATCTTAAGGTATGTGCTTGTTGGTTTTGTACCTTCGACTGTTAGCTTGTAAGTTTTTGTACCTTGAAAACCTATCGTAGGCGTTTGGGGTTGTATACCTTAAGTTCTTTGCTTACAGGGTTTCTATCAGGCTCGTTCATGGAGGCATATGCGGAGAGTCTCAGTTGCAGCACCTCCAACCACAGTAGGGATTTTCTGGTAGTTAAGGTATACGGCTTGATTCAGGGGGTTTCGGGGAGGGTCTTTGGGTTTCTAGGCTGTGCGGCGTGTAGGGCAGGTTTCAGTTCAGGGTTTAGTTCATGGCAAAGAAAACCGAGGGTTTAGTAGTGGTGGGTGAAGAGGCTCAGAGTGATCAGGATCGTGGATGAAGGTTCTGCAGGATTGTCACATGTAAGCTTGAATCAATTGCATACTCTCCCGTTTGGTTTTTGATCATGTAGTAGTGCGGAATGCGCTGAACATCCTTTTTTCTTGAGGCGCCTAAAGTAGGGAGTGTTGCAGGCCATCGAGCATGCGCAGTCGCCCATCAACAAGCACCCGGTGACAGGCGCACAGTGGGAGTTGCCATAACAGACATCCTAACTACAAGGGTTCCTACTTCAATAATTAGAACAGTGTTTCAGGGTAAATAGTATCCAGCGTACTGGTGATGCAGAGCCATAGGGCATTATCATAATGAGCATTAACATTCTCAGTATCGTTCTTATGATTTCCTGGTACTGTTAGCGGTACATTTATTGCTACTAGTGTTCGGTTCCTTCTTCTGATTCTCATTATTCGGGCTATCACCATGGTTGACTGTAGTTATTACTATGTATTCCGACCCCCGTATTATGGCTTCCCTTCACTACCTATTCTTGGCGTGCCCCATGTACATCCGTCATGTCTACCTGTAGTTTTCGGAGTAAATAAGCCTGAGTAGGCTTATATGAATATGTACATATCATATATATATATATGTATGTATTTGAGCCATACATATATATATATATATATATATAGAGATATGTAGATATGTACATGTCTTATATACACGCGTATGTATGTATGTATGTATGTATGTATGCATGCATGTATGTATGCCTGCATGTATGTATGTCAGATGTATGTATGTCTCTATATGTATACATATATCATATAGTAGAGCATGTAGCGTGTTTCCGCTCATACGGATGTTTGTGCATGTGTGGAATGGTCGATCAAACAGATGGTTCTTACGACACAGCCCTAGGCCCTAAACTAACTACCAAACGCAAACCAAAGTCCTAAACCCGAAGCCATAAGCCTCCCGAACCCCTAAACCGTCGCTCTACCGTAAACCCTAAACCCCAAACCCTAAACCCTAAACCCTCTATGACACAGGTCAGCCAGTGTGGTTCTGCAATCTGCACAACCACAGCCGTGTCCAGGCACTGAACAGCCGCGCTTTGGGGAAAGTTCGGGTTTTAGGGTTTGGATTTAGGGTTTAGGGTTTAGGGTTTAGGGTTTAGGGGCCCGGGGCTGTAGATATTGGGTTTTGAGGGTTCTAGAGTTTGATGGCTTCAGGTTTCTGGCGTTGGGGGTTTGGTTGTAAGATGGTGTAGGGCTGCGGGGTTTGTCGGTTTCGGGGTTTGGGGGTTTGAGGGTTTGGCGGATTTGGTGTTTTTGCGTTCCGGGGTTTGGGGTATCGGGGTTGAGGGCTTTGGAGTTCAGGGTTCTGGTTTTTGTGAATTTGGGATTTACGGTTTTGGGCGTTGCCGTCTTCTGAAGCTCCTTTTCAATGGGCTCGAGGATGCGTGAAATCGAGAAGCACCATCCTTCGACCCTGCACCTGCACCCTAAACCCTAAACCCCAAACCCCAAACCCTAAACCCTAAACCCTAAACCCTAAACTCTGAGTCGTGGTTCTTGGGATTTCAGAGCTTTGGTTTCGGGCTTTTGTGGGATTCGGGCTTTGTGGCATTTGAGGCTACCTGCGCGACCGCCGGCCCTGCACAGTTCCTGAGGTGGGAATGACCGATGCAGCCTGGCTGGAGTAGGTTTAAGGTTTAGGGTTTAGGGTTTTGGGTTTAGGGTTTAGGGTTGCAGGGGGTTTAGGGTTATGGGAATTATGGGGTTTCGAGTTTCGGGCCGAAGGCTAAGATCATCCAAGGTTCAGTCGGCTTGATGTAGGTTTTCCTTGGGAGGAACATCGGTTGCCAGGTTGAGTTCCCTAAATCCTAAACCCTCAGCCCGAAACCCTAAACCCTAAACCCTAAACCCTAAACCCTAAACCCTAAACCCTAAACCCGAAACCCTAAACTTCACAAGCAGGGCGTCCGGGATCCCATTGGGCTATCTGTTCGGAATCGCATGGCGCGGTCCTAGCTTCGGACATACCGCGCTGAGAGTAAATCGGAGGTTCCGAAAGCAAGGGGCCCCCTTGTTGTCGGGATCTTAAGCTCTAAACCCCAAACCCTAAACCCTAAACCCTAAACCCCAAACCCCAAACCCTGAACAAGAAAAAGAGCTCCTGTCTCCGGACTACGGAATGGTCTCCCTAACGAATTCGCACCGGAGGTCCGCAACCCTGAGCCCCAAACCCTCAGTTTCATAGTCCCTTCCCGCTTTTCAGACCTCAGCGTTTCAAAGATGCGGGTTTTGCAGACTGTATACTGGAAGATCATCCAGGTCATGATTGGGAGGTCTATAGGATGTCGACCATCTTCCTCGACTGATTAAGGGTTTAGGGTTTAGGGTTTAGGGTTTAGGGTTTACGGTATTGGTTGGCGCTCTTTGGGTCCGCGTGAGGTGTACAGCGGAGACCTCTCCACGATCCCCTACGACGATGTCAGGCACATCAACGAGGCGACATTCGCAGGATGTAGTGCCATAAGACTTGAATGCTTCATGGCAGCAGACCCATTTAATGTAGGGGCCTAAACAATTCCCGATACTATTTTGGGGGTTCCTATATACTTAGGGGTACTTAGAAATAGTTTTTAATCTTTGGTTACTATAAACCCTAAGAAGCAGCTAAAATTATAATTTTTGCTAGGGGTCTAAGTTCAGTATAATATTAGGAGGCTCCCAGTCCGCATGGCTGCAGTTTCTTGTAGCTCGAGGAGCTCAAGGAATTGTAGCACTGCTCTGAGGTTTCCCGCGCATGTTCAAAGTAATATGGGGGCTTCAGTAATTACCAATCTTTTTTTTGGGGGGGTTGCCTTAGCATAATTATGCTACAAAGGACCCCCAAACCCAATTCTAACCATTCAGGCTTCTACATGATACAAGCACCAAAACCCTCATCCTAAAAAAACAGGCCCCGTACAGAGAACCCTCAACCTTCTTTGGCCCTTATTCTAGAACCCGTGCAGGGTCCTTCTAGAACCCTTCCAGGCGGACTCCATCTGAAAAGCCCTTTCCATTGAGCTGTTCACCGAAAACCCCCTCCTTCCCTCGCATAACCTTTATGGGAGTTTCCGAAAATTAGGGGTACCTTATTTGGGGGTCCTTATATTAAGGATCCTATTATTTAGGGTACTATATTAGGGTCCCCTATTTTTGGAAACCCCCTTATAGAGTCCGTAAAGAAGCTCTAATGGAGCCTCCGTCCTGGCTGCAGAGAAAAACCGTCTGACAACACTTCCCCTGTGTAACGGACTTAGCCCTTAAAGGAGCCCTTACAGGAACCCTTACAGGAGCTCTTAAGTAAGGAAAACTGAAAACCTCTAAGTCATATTTAGGGTTCCCCGTGTTATTAACGGACTTCAGTCGGTCATTCGCACGAAGCACTCTGTGGTGCACATGAGTGATTGAGCAAAACTACTTCGAACCCTACTGGAACCCCTCCAAGAACCCTAGGAGGAACCCTTAAAGGAGCCCTTACAGGAACCCTTAAAGGAACCCTTAAAGGAACCCTTAGAAACTGTAAGCCAGATCTAGGGTTAGAGTTTAGGGCAGTTTAGGGTTTAGGGGTTGAGGGGTCCAGGAATTTCAGGGTTGAGGGGTTGAGGGATTTCAGGGATTTCAGGTTTAGGGTTTACGGTCGCCGGGTCGTTTAGGGGGTTTGGGGTTTGCGCGGTTTGCACCCCAAATCCTAAACCCTAACTACAGTTTGCGGTTGAGGGTGTAGGGGTGAGGCATCCTCAACCTAGAGTGTTCGGCTTAGATTCGAGGGTTCTTAGATAAACCAGGACCCACACTTATCCTAAGCCCCAAACCCTAAGCCCCAAACCCTGTAAATCCATAAATCGATCGCGAGGTGTGCGAGCGAAACATCGTGACGATGTCCATGAAGAAGGGCGATGTGGTCCTTCTGGACAACTACCGGGTCCCGTCACGGTTTACTGTAGGGTTCTGGATGTTGGTCTTTGGTTGTCTACGTACTTACATGGCTTGCAGGATAGGGTGACTTAGTCAGAAGGCTCCGCTGCGGATTATACGTGTCCTCGCTGGGATTATCTTCCGTGCTAGTGACCTACTGCTAGGTTTCCCTGGGCTCTGCAAGCTTGCGCGACGCTGCAAAGCTATTCCAGATGCACAGCCTCACCCCTGAAAGCTGAAACCCCACACCCTAGACCGGTCAACGGAAGTTAATATGTGGGCCGTAATAATTAGAATAGGGTTTGGGGTATAGTATACTATAATTATAATATGGAGCCCCCAAGACCCTATTCTAACTAAGGCCCTGAGCTCTAGACCGTTGTGTCATTGCCGGGGGTTCCTCTTCGACTCTCTGAGGCTAGTCGGCGAGAGCAGGGGGTTTACAAAGCTCATCAGGGCCGTTCGATTTCGGGTTTAGGAGTCTTATTCTTACCATTGTGATGGCAGTGGTAGTGGTGGTGCTGGTGCTGGTAGGTAGCAGCAGCAGTAGCAATCCTTCCACCAGTCACAACCATCATCATATCTCAAATGTTAAACCCTAAACCCTAAACCCTAAACCCTAAACACGCGTCCCAAGACCCCAAACCCCAAATCCCCACTCTCATGCTCCAAACCGTTGGGCAGACGGATCTCTGCCAAAACTTATCTTCACCCATATAATGGCAGGATGGCTCCTGAAGTCCTAAACCTTAACCCAAAGCCCTAAGCCCCGAAATTCTGGAAGCTTGCTGTGTAAAAGGGGTGTGGGAACTGCATAAAAGGAGCCCTCAAAGGAACCCCTTAACCCTAAACCCTAAACCCTAAATCCTAAACCTTGAACCCTGAACCCTAAACCCTAAACCCTGAACCCCTGTATTTACCCTCAAAGGATCCCTTAAAGGAGCCCCCACTGAAGGTGCTCCACGGCCGCAACACCTTCAAGGGTGACCGCAAGCATCTTGGAAGTCAAGTCGGGCTTTGAAAGGGGGTTTAATAGGGGTTTCATAGGGGATTCAGAGGGGTTTAATAGGGGTTTCATAGGGGTTTATAGGCATTTATATAGGGAGTTACGGGGATTTATAGGGGTGTTATAGCCCTGAAAGATCGTTCTCTTCCGCTTTCGCCCCTTGCTTTCTCGTACCTCCGTGTCTCCGTGTCCCCGGCACTTCTCTCGGTTCTTGTTAGGGAGTTGAAGTTACGTTACCGTTGAAAGGATCTAGTTTAAAACAGCGGTCAACTGACCCTAAACCCTAAACCCTAAACCCTAAACCCTAAACCCTAAACCCTGATTCTACGAGGGTTTGCTGATGAAAGATCATGGGACTTCGTAGCTGCGCTTAAAAGGCGTACAAGAGCGTAAGGTAGCCACAGTTAGGACTCCGTATGATCACAACAAGCACGGCATTTCGAACCTTTCCTCGATGCCGGTTTAGGGTTGAGGATTTAAGGTTTTAGGGTCACGGTTTGGGGTTTAGGGTTTAGGGTTTAGGGTGCACAGAGGCTCCTCGACCTTAAAATCTTAAAGCTCATCAAGCCGCTGCAATGCTCACAATCCCGAGGCCCTGCGCAAAATCTACTAAACCCTAAACCCCTAAACCCTAAACCCTAAACCCTAAAACCCTAAACCCGAAACCCCTAAACCCTAAGCCCTAAACGTTATGGAACCCTACAGAAGGGGAGTTAAGGAATTTGGGGTTTAGGCCTCCAGGGCAGAACATCGCCGGACCAAGGCACGCCGTCACCTGGTTCGAGTCTTGCGGCGAGCCGCTGTCTTCAGGTCGGGAAGGGTTTAGGGTTTAGGAAGTTTAGGGTTTAGGGTTTAGGGTTTAGGGTTTAGGGTTTAGGGGAAGGGTGGAATGAGGGTGGGAATCGTGTAGCGTTTTTTTGTTTTGTTTTTTTTGGGGGGGTTAGGGTTTAAAATTTGGGGTTTTAGGGTTTAGGTAGGGTTTAGAGCGGTTTCGGGTTTAATTAATTTGGGTGTTGAGATGTTTCGGGGTTCGGAGTTTAGGGGTGGAGGGTTTGGTCGGCCGGAGCCGGAGCCAGCTGTGGGGCTTGGGGGTTGCTTGCGAGGCAATACAGGGGCCTTACGAATTTCTACAGTATTTTGGGGGTTCCTTAGTATAATTCTAGTATACTGGGCCCCAAAAACCTATTCTAATTATTAAGGCCCCTACGTTAGGCTTTCGGCTTCAGGGCCTCCTGCCTTCGGTGCAGGCTCCACGCTCCACCTCGGAGCTTCAACCCGTCCCTGTACATATTGGGGTTTAGGGTTTAGGGGTTTAGGGTTTAGGGTTTAAGGTTTAGGGTTTAGGGTATCAGGGAATCCCCAAAAGGAACTACTATGGGGCCTATGGGTAGGGGTCTTTATGGTTAGAACAGGATTTTCGGGGGCTAAGCCCGTAAATTCTCAACCCTAAACCCCCCAAGCCCTATAAACCCCTCTAGACATCATCCCAAGAGCCAATTCTAAGTATTAAGGCCCCTAATATAGAACCCTACTATAGATCCCTTATAGAACCCTCTTCTAAGTATTAAGGCCCCTAATACAGAACCCTACTATAGATCCCTTATAGAACCCTCTTCTAAGTATTAAGGCCCCTTTTATTCGATCATCCAAGAGCCGAGGCTCAAACCCCTAAAGCCCTAAAACCCTAAACCCCTAAACTCTAAACCCTAAACCCCTCAAGCCCGAAAAAAGCCCTCTAGACATGATCCCAATTGAGCCGAGGCTGAAAGAGCGCGAGGAGCGAGTCTCGACGCAGAAAGGCCCCCCCGCCCAAGCGACCTGAGCCTTGGGGAGACGAACCGAGGGGTCTGAATTTATATAGGGTTTTCTAGGGCTTATAGGGCTTATAGGGTTTATAGGGCTTTAGGGTTTATAGGGTTTTAGGATTTAGGGTTTTAGGGTTTAGGGTTTTGAGTTTAGAGGTCTGAAATTATTTGGGGTTCATAGGGTTTTGGGTTTTGAGTTTAGAGGTCTGAACCTATTTGGGGATTATATGGTTTTGGGCTTTGAGTTTAGTATTTAGTCTGAATCTATTTGGGGTTCATAGGGTTTTGGGTTTTGAGTTTAGAGGTCTGAAATTATTTAGGGTTCATAGGGTTTTGGGTTTTGAGTTTAGATGTCTGAATTTATTTAGGGTTTTGCATTTTGGGTTTTGAGTTTAGTATTTGGTCTGAATCTATCTATAGGGTTTGTAGGGCTTAGAGGGTGTATAGGGCTTATAGGGTTTTAGGGTTTTAAGGTTTGGGTTTATAGGGTTTTAGGGTTTATAGGGTTTGTAGGGCTTATAGGGTTTATAGGGTTTTAGGGTTTATAGGGTTTAGGGTTTAGGGGTTGGGGTTTTGAGTTTTGTATTTAGGGTTCTAGGGTTCAGGGTTTTTGGGTTTCAGGGTTCAGGGTTTTAGGGTTCAGTGTTGAGGGTTTAGGGTTTGAGCACCAGGAGAAGGAGTATGCTTATATCAACAAGTACGTACTGGGGAATCTAGACGCATCTTTGGGTCCTAAACTATATGTCATATGTATTCTTCGAGTTACTTGAACGCCTCATCACCTTCACTTCCACCCCGTAAACCAAACCCGTGTTTTCCGAACACCGCGACCCCAAATCTTGTAAACCCAGAACCGTACCTGTGGATGCACTAACCTACTTGTTTTGAGGGCTCAACTTATGGTAGTGGAGGTCGTGACCGTGACCTGCCATGTTATAGGGTCTAGGACTACAAGTATAGACAATAAACCCTAAACCCTAAACCACCCTAAACCTTCAGTGCCAGCCCACGACGCGTCAGCAGGCATCGCCACACGCCACGATGCGCTCAAGGCATCCCCCAGCATGTCCTTTCTTGGATGAGGTTCCAGTTTAGGGTTTAGGGTTTAGGGGTTTAGGGTAGCCGGTTTCCAGACTTTGGGCTTAAGTCGGTTTGGTGGCACTCAGAGTCCGAGACCCCTAGCACAGAATCTTGAGCCCATTAAGGCTCAACTGAAACCTTCAGCGCGAAGCTTCAGTTCAAACAGCCGGAAGTCTACTTGGGTCTTCTGTCTGGGCTGGGAGCCTCACACTACCAATTTGCTCTATACTACTGCAAAGTCTCAGGACCCAGGATAAACCCGAATACTGACTCCCAAATCTTAACCATCTGTCCTTGAGAGCATCCCTGTAAAGTCATGTCTTGGTTTGACCCTAAACCCGAAACCCCAAACCCTGAATTTCTTGTGTTGACTCGAAACCCTATAAACCCTAAACTGATGACACAGAATCCTGGGCTTCTCATGGGGCCGGTGGTACTTGTGTAGTCCTCAGGTGTTGTCTGAGGCCTAAACCCCCAAACCAACAAAACATCTCATTCCATCTGGGCATGCGAGAAAGTACGACAATAAAAACCCTAAACCCTAAACCCTAAACCCTAAAGTGAGAAACCCCAACCTGGACTGGGAAGATCCTCCTTGTGGCAAGGATTTAAACTAGTATTCTCTACCGCATAGCCTAATCTGAAGAGCTTCATAAACAAACACCCCTAAGTCTTCTAGGGGTTAGGGTTGCTAGGTGAATAAGGTATACCGCATACCACAATCAAAAACACATTATAGACTCCACCTATATCTTGTAGGGTTTAAGGCTTAAGGTTTAGGGTTTCAGGTTCTTCTTGTGAGAGGAGCCTCAGCCCCATCGTCTTGTTTGCCGAACCAGTTGTTGCGCCGACCCTACCCCAGCCAGTCACATCGTCTTAAACTCAGGGTTTAGGGTTTAGGCGCTTTCCTTCCTACACACGCTAAATCCAAAACCCTAAAACCCTCAACCTTAAACTTAAACCCTTTTGGGTTTAGGGTTTAGGGGCTTTGGGTTTAGGGCTTCAGCTTTAAACCTTCAGTGCCTCCCTGAACCTTATGCCCAAGACCCTACCTTCAGCCGAGAAACCCTATACTGAACAATTGTAGAAAATCAGAATCTAGGTAGTGCTTTGGGGCATTTTAGATTTTCTCTTATTGGGCTTAAGAGGATCTTACCTACTAATATTTTTCAAAGGCTTCTAAAGCACATCCTAGGAATACTGAACCCTTGCGGATAAACCCTAGACCCAAACCCTAGTAGTGCTTCTCGTTGGCGTTTCCTCTGTGTCCGGTCAGGACGAGCTGAAGCAGTGCAAGCATGGAGCTCATCTTGCCTCCTAATCCCTATATGGGTAGTTGTCAAAATTAGGGTCCCTTTTGGGGTACTCCAAATATTAGGTGCCGTACTATAATAAGGACCCAAAAAGGGACCATAATTTTGACAACCACCCATATAAGCCTGAAATCCCGAAGCCCCAAGCCCCTAAGCCCTATAAATCCTAAGCCTTAAACCCCAAAGCACCAAGCCCCTATACCCTAAGCCTTAAACCCAAAAGCACCAAGCCCCTATACCCTCAAACCCTAAATCCCTAAACCCTCATCCCTAAACTGCGCGGGTTTCGGTGAGGGTGGCACTCTCCGGGTTGCGTGTAGCGGCCTGAAGAGATAACCACGGTTCCTTTGAGTGTATGGGGGCTACCACAGGTTTGAGGGCTCATAAGGGTACTATATGGGTCCTTTAAGGGGTCCACTATGGACTTATTATTGTCTATAGGGATACTAAATGGTTCAGGGTTTGGAAATATTACTTCTGGGGACGCTGAAACCCGTTTCTGATTTTCAAGGTCAGTCTACTACAGGTAGTTGGTGGTGAAGGCTGTTGGCCTGCCAGAAGCCCAACAGCCCCAGCCTTGTTGCATTGCACCGGCCGGAAGCCCCGAACGGCCTAAAGGCCTAAACCGTCCACACCCCTAAGCCCTTTAAGTGGGACGAGTTTAACAAACTCGTTCGACACAGCGGCTGCCAATCATCATTGGGGACGGATGCTGGTGCGGTTCGAGCATCTTCACACCAATTATGTGGGTGTTTCCGAAAATTGGGGTACCTTATTTTGGGTCCTTATAATAAGGATCCTATTATTTAGAGTACTATATTAGGGTCCCCTATTTTCGGAAACTCGCATGTGGCACCATCTGGCCCGGAGCAGATCGGGAATCAGCTGGTGGGGCCCTGCGCAGTGCATTCATAATTAATACTTACCCTTGCCAGGCTCAGCCTTAAAAAAGGGCACCATGCTCGTGCATCAAAGATTGGTGAACGATATTTTCGTCTCGAAGTTGCAGAATCACCTCTTTATGGATCACCTCTTTATGCGAGAGGTATTTGGGGAAGATGGTGGAATTGGGGTTTAGGGTTTAGGGTTCAGGGGTTTAGGGGTTTAGGGTTTAAGGTTTAGGGTTTAGGGTTTAGGGTTCAGGGGTTTAGGGTTTAAGGGTTGAAGGGAAGATGGCTCGCAGGTTTGGCTGAACGCTGTGAGGGTTACGGTCATGTCCTTGAAGTACCCAGAGCTCTGCGGGCCTGGCTTTAGGGTTTCGCTTTATAAACCCTTACCCTCAAGGGACTCATATTTTTAAGGCTTTTGGGCCCAAAGACCCGTTTTTTTCAAGGCTTTTGGGCTAATTTCGATGCTATGGGAAAGGGACTAAGGGACAGAGTCTAGGGCTGACAGGAGTGTAAGTAAGGTTTAGCCATGAAGTGGAGCGTCCTCAGGTTGTCTTCTATGTAACATGTAACGATGAAGCTTTGTAGGGTTGTTAAGGTTGAAGGTTACCGTAAATCTCATATACATCGACGAGCTTTATAGTAACCCCCAAAAGTTGGAAACCGGGTTGAGGACAAACAGAGCTTGGATTTCCTTTTACAATACTCTTATGGATTGAGGCTGTTGGGTTTGCAACTTTTGGGCTTCCACTGTAGGGGGGTTTAGTGTATAGGGACTACTGCACCGTGTGCTAGACACCGGATCTTGCCTGAGGCCGGAGCACCCGAGATCTGCCCCAAAACGCCTTAAACACAAAACCTGAAGCCTAGAGTATAGAGTTCAGGGTTTCAGGTTTAGGGTTTTGGGGTTTGGGTTTAGGGTTTAAGGCACTGTAGGAGCTAAGGTTTGTTCTATATAGGTAATTGCACGGATCCTTCGCGTTTAGTTCACGGCTTAGGGTTAAAGTCTTTTGGGTTTTGAGGATATATGGGGTTTCGGCTAGGAACCTACCTACTTGAAGTCGAACGGATATGTGTTGGAGTGTTGGGGCCAGGGTTCCATGGCGACCGAAGCGGAACAGCCCGCAGGCTTAAGCACTTGAATCTTTACACCACCGATTCGGAAACCAACAACTCCAAAGTCATATGGGCAGGCCAACAGAGTAAATCACTGCTAACCCTAAACCCTAAACCCCTAAACCCTTAAACCCTAAACCTAATTCTGGCCCAACTATTCAAGACAGATCTTCGAAGCAGCCTATGAAGCCTCTGAGGGATGTGACCCCTAAGCCCGAAGAACTAATTCCGTTCAAACAGACAGCTTAAGCCGGAAAGCTCATGAAGATCCTAGAAGAAGTGCAGAGGCTTAGCTCATTTTTCGGAATGTAGACATTAGGGTGTGTTTGAGGTATTTAGATTCCTTGAGGGTCTTGGCTTTAGGGTGCCGTGCGGTTAAAGAAGTTATGAGGCTTAAGTCCAGCCACAATGCCTAAACCCTAAACCCTAAATTCTCTGGACCCTCATACTCAAACAGCCCCTGTGTGCTTCACTCGAACCCTCCACCCTAGAATATAGGGGCCCAAATAAGTACCAATACGGTTTATGGGTGCTCCTTATCATAAATATAGTATAATGCGCACCGAAACCCTACTCTGCTTATTCAGGCCCCTATAGTACCCTGTTGAGGCACCAGGTCCATCAACTGGCCCACGACTTCAAAAGACATAAGAAGGAGGTCGAGGACCTTGGTTCGGGGGTTTAGGGTTTAGGGTTTGGGGTTTAGGGTTTAGGGGTTAGGACCTTGGTTCGGGGGTTTGGGCTTTAAGGCGCTTCCGGGTTTATCGGGTCTAGCATGCGGGCCTCAATAATTACCTATGCATTTTTTGGGGGTTCCTTATTATAATTATGGTATGCTATGCCCCCCCAAAAACCCTATGCAAATTATCAAGGCCCCTGGATTAGGGCTTAGGGTTCACATGGTTTAGGCCCTTCGGATTATTCAGATTTCGGGCTTTCTGGGGGGTTTTGGCTCCAAGGGATGAAGGATAAAGGTTTGTGGAAGTCATGAGCACCAAAACCCAAAGACCAAAGCCCTACACCTTTGATATACTATACTATACTAATACTATACTATACTTAACTTATACTATACTATACTATACTATACTATACTATACTATACTATACTATACTATACTATACTACACTATGCTATACTATACTATACTATACTATCCTAAACCCTACTAGAGTGCACAGTACTATACTCTTCCGTACCACAACATGCTATACTATACTTTACCAAACCGTAGCAGCCTTCGCATACCATACCGCACATATCAGAATACACCATCATGTACCATGCTTGAACTCTAAGCGCCAAAAACCCTGAAACCTTAAACCCTAAACACCTAATCCCCTAAACGCAACAAATCCTAACCCCTGAACCCTCAACAACCCTATCTGAACCTAAACCCTATAACCTCTCATACCCTGACAACCCTCAACCCCCAAACCTAAACTAAACCCTAAACGCTAAATCTTAAACCCTAAACCCTAAACCCCTAACCCCTAACCCTAAACGCTAAACCCTCAACCCTAAACCCTCAACCCAAAACCCTATTTCGAAGCCTAAACCCTCCTAAACCCCATAAACCCCCAAACCC